TCATGACTTCTTCTATTTCTTTGCTACTTCTGTTCCTTTTACTCAAGTCTCCTAAGAGACTAAGTGTTTCTTGTAGTTCTCTTCTTCTTTTCTTAGAGCTCTGAGATTTGTTTCTTAGTAGCTTTTTGTGTCTTTCGTAGTTTTTATTAATTTTGTGTTTCGGAAAATTTGTGTTTTGATGATTAGCGGAAAGAGTTCGAATATTGATTGTAAATTTATGAATATTGAAATAGTTTTATAACTTTATAGTAATATATATACTAAAGTATAACTTATAATCTATAGCTTTTGTTAATACACTTTTATAAAAAATTATATAGATAAATTTCAAAGTTTTTTTTAAATACAATTTATATTAAAATTTTATATATTTTATACTAAAAAAAATTATTAGATATGTATTGCATGTTCTAGATGAGATTAAATGGATTGATATAGGAAACTCAGATCAGAGGGTTTAATTGAGTAATTCAAGTAATAGTGGATTACAGATACGACATCTAGTGTAGCACCTAGCACATCAGGGTTGGCAAATGATTTTTAAATGATATAAATGACATTGTGATATTGTCATTTGTCACTTTGTCATTTAGAAAGCAAATGACAAATGACAAAAATAGTTTATATTTAGAAATGTTAAGATCTTAAGATTGCTAAGATTTTGTGTTACTTCAGATACTTTAGGATTAGTTGGTCCTAAAACACCCAAAGTCTTAACAATTTTGAGACCTGTGATTGATTAAAATTTGTTATTTTTAAATGACAAAAATATCAAATGACCTTTGTCATTTGTCGTTAATTTGTCATTTGTCACTAAAATTTTAAATGACATTGTCATTTGCCAACTCTGTAGCACATAGGTAGAATACTTAATTAGGCATCCAAAAGATGCAGATATGACTAAAATGTATCTTCATCAGAATATACTTGTTTGGAGCTTCTTTGAAAAGGGCACTACATGATTCTAATATCTAATAAAAGCAATAAGCTGAAGAGGCTAACCTTGACTACAAAAAAAAAAAATTATTAGATTTGTAGAATATCTTCAATAAACTATTTCTTACATTTAATAATTACTAAAAGATTATAAACTCTTCAATTGAAAAAAATTTTCTTGATCTTTTTGAAATACTTCAAAATTAAAAAAATTTTCTATAATAGAAATCTCTTCATCATTAATATTAATTGTTTTAATTTGTTTGTTTACTTCATCTGGTTCTACATCTTGTTTTAGGTTTTTATTTTGTTTATAATTTACATCTTCAAAAAATATGTTAATATTTTCTTCAAAAAACTCAGATATTAAAATAATTTTTTGTTTGTTATCATTTTTTTTGATAACAGCTTGCTAAAGTTTATTTTTAATTTATCCAAGTTTAAGAAAAAAGGTGATTTCTGGTTTTAGTTTTAGTAAAACCCAAAGAGGAAAAAAAATAGATTTTTGTTAAATTTAGCAGGTTGTGATATCGCAGGTTAATATATAATTTAAAAAAAAATTAAAATTATTATTAGTTAGGGTTAAAGTTCGAGCTAGTATTAGGATTAGAGTTAAAAGGATATTTATATACAAAATTGAGTGTTAAAAACTTTTAATTAGAAGTTCAAAACTAGTTTACATAATGAAATTTCGAGATATTTAAAATTTTGACTTTTTTTCTTAAGTTTTTCTAATTTTTCGTTTATTTTTATTACACAAGATCCTGTGATCTAATTGGTCGATCATATTAACCAGCGACATAGCAACCTGCGATATTTAACATTATCCAAAAAAAATATTTACAAAATAAAATAATAGGAATTTTCATAATAAATTAATAAAGAATAGAAAATTTCTGATAAATTTCATCTAAAAAGATCTAGACAATTGTTAAATATTAGGTTTGATATGATTAAAAGAAGAATTATTATATTTATAGTTAATTAATTCTTTAAAAAGTAGACTAATATCTCTTTTATCAAAGTTTCAAACTTTGGTTAATTCCAAGCATCTATACAGAAGTCAATCTCTATTTATATATCTTAATATAGCTATATTTTTGTAAAATAGGTTAAAAAACAAATTAATGAAATAAATATTATCAGAGAATTCTTTTGCTCTTTGACTAATAACAATTAATACATAAGCTTTGAAATCAGAAATAGAAGTTTTGAGTTTGGATATTTCAAGATAAATATAGATTAATTTTTAAAAATATCAACCAAAGTTGCATCTCTAAATTCTAGCCTTCTAATCATATCAACTATTAATTTAATAACTTTTACTAGTATATTATTACTAGCAAAATAATATTTATTATTAATAATATTTTAATATTTTTCTTATTAAGGGTGTGGTGACTTAGTGAAGTTGGCAAGTTGTCGCACCCCCAAGCAGCAGGACTAGAGTTCGAATCCCACCGGTGACGAAAATTTGAATTATAGAAAATGCATTTGGAAGACTGTATCCTATTGGGTTGTAGAACCTGTAATGGTGGTCATACCAGCTTGTACTGGGAGGTAGTGGAACATGTAGTGTGATGTATGAGTTATACAAAACTCGAGTAAAACTACTGGATAAATACAGCGAATTTACAGGATACGAAAGCCTGTTTGGCAAGACCCAAGTGGAGAAGTAGCACAAATCTTCGACGGTTACTATGTAAAGGATGATCAACCAGATACCGGAAAACTGGATGGGACCGAAGTGTTTGGCAAAAGCACTATACCAACCAGGCCGATGGGGAAAAACGGAGGAAGGGTCCGCCTTTCCGGGCTGTAGGATTGGGAGTTTGGGTTTCCAAAGGTATGGGAGAGAGTCCGTAAAGTAGGTACCGGGGTTTGGGTGAACTCTACAAGGGCAGTAGTAGGTAACTGTAGCGGCTTTGGCTCGCAAGTACTTGTTCTCAGACTCGGCGTAAGTTACCGAAAAGGCCTAGTCTGAAAATGTGTAGGACATAGAAAGATTAGGGGTATATACTACACCCTCCCTAGGGTAACACAGTAAGTATGAGAACCCTACTGGGTTATCTATAGAATTAGGACACAAGTAGTGTAGTACATGTCGATCTGGGTGGTCTTTAAATGTAGCAGCATGAGGTTATAGGCTGGCGTAATTGTAGGTACATCAGGAAAATTAAATTAATGCAAATCTGCAAAAATCTGTTAAAATACAAATTTTTGCAGAATTTTTATAAAAAATCTGTAAAATTTTTCAAATTTGAAGTTTTTTACAGAATTGCATTTAATTTTCTCTGGCTATAGCCAGCAGGGTCGCAGATTTACACAAATTTTCATTTAATTTATTATTTAATTTTTTGCAATTTTGTGCAGAACTGCACTAAAAAAAATTTCCCAATGTAGTAGTAAATGTACTATATAAATTCCTAATAAAATTCGCCTGTTCGTGACATTGCAAGGGAAAAAAAAAAATATATATATATATATTTTTCTTATTTCTGAATAGTTTATTCTATTAAATTTGCTCAACCTAAAAGAATGCTGAAAGTCTCTTTTAAAAGCAATTACACTTAAGCAGACTTTAATAATAGAGTACTACCTTGTTTCACAATATATATTTAAAAAATGAGATATACTTTCTTCTTTCTGCTAAGTTTATAGAGTCTATTGTCATATATGTGAAGCAGTAAAAAAATTTACAAGTTTTTGATTCTTATTACAAGTAGAAACAATACTAACAAAGTTACAATATTTTTTATAATAAGATTAAATGTATATAAGCAACATCTAATAGGAATAATATTCAAATACTTATTCTAAAAAAAAAGAATATTTTAATAATATTTTCGAATTAATATTATTTTATTCAAAGAAACTAAAACATTATAAAAAAACTAGCAAGAAGAAATGCTCTTGTACAAAAAAGATTAATAGAAGTATAGCCTCTGTTAACAAAATTTTTCAATTTGAATAGATGTTATTAAGAAATTATTATTTAAATATTTAAATTAAAAAATTCTTGCAATATTTTTTTAAAAATTTTTTAAAAAAAATTTAAATAATAATTTCTTAATTAACAACTATCTATTCAAATTTGATAAAATTTTTATTTTAATTATGTAATTTGTAGAATTAGATTTGTAGTTGTTAAAAATATTGATTTAAAGTTAAAAAAATTTAGCTGAAATAAAACGTCTACAAAGTGTGCAGCACCGAAATTTAGAAAACAGTCTCATGTTCGTCCTCGATTTAAAATAAAATCATGTGCTTGCTTAAAGTTGGGCAATTCTCTTCCCAGTTTTGGTATTTCAGTCCATATATTTAAAGCATTTTTCTGAGAAATTTGGAAATTTCTTAAGCACAATGTAACCTACAAATCAATAAATGAACGAAACAATTTTATTGTACGTACGTAAGTATTTTTATTTACATAAAACAATGCTTCATGAGTATTTGAGCACAATTATCATATGTTACGTTTATATTGCGAATAGGATTCACTATTCGGATTAATTCGAAAAAAAAAAACATTGCCCATGATAATTCAAGGTTTATACGGATTATCGATTTGAGAAATTTTTTTCAGGTGAAAATTACATTTCCAATGCTTATAATGTATAATTCTAAGCAGAAATAACGTACGTACATGTGTTCATTGCCATTATTCTAAGAAACCAATATGTAGTAAAAGGAATGGACAATCTAATATAAATTAAACTAAAATGTATTATGATTCAGTTGTAAACTATTGTTACATATGAACAATAAATAAAATATATATTATGAAATTCTATTATATAAATTGCATAAATAAATGTGTAACGGGGCGGGGAAAACATTTTCACCGAATTAGCCCATCTAACTTAAATACAGATTTAGTAATTTTCTTTTTGTTACTGAGTGGAGCGTTAAAAACTTTCCAGAATCGTAAAGTATTATCATCGCCACCAGCACCAGTCACAATATCTTCGCCATTAGGAGATAAAGAGAAATAAAGCACACGATAATTATGCCCTTTTAAGGTGGCAATCTTTTCCATCGAAGGATATTGCCAAACGACTACATCATTTTTCCACCATCCGTGGGTTGAGACAAGTTCATTTGCCGTGGGTGACCATTGCAGGTTACATACCTTTATAGAGGACTAAGGGTTAGTTGATTAGAATAAAACAATAAAATAATAATTAAAAAATAAAAATAAAAATACTTGTGATTTAACATTATAACTTGCTAAGCATCTTGAATCCAGAGTATTCCAGAAACGTATTTGCCGATCTAAATGACCACCTCCGCTTACTAATAAATTTCTTGAGTGAGGGCTCCAAGAAAGAGCACGAACAGCAGCTTTATGACCATCAAGCTTTCTGATTGGAGACAAATTCAAGCCTTCCCAGATAAATAATTCGTTGGCATTACCACCACTTGCTAGTTGATTTCCTTCATTGTTCCATTTCAATCCACATATCTATTTACATAATAATAGATTTAATCTAAATTCGAGTAATTTATAGTTCGATAATTACTTACCTCGGATTTATGATCTGTTAAAACACGGATATTATCATAAGGACTTCTTGGATCTCTATGGATTATGCAACGGTCGGCGCTACCGGTGGTTAGTAGGTTTCCATTCCAAGAAAGAGTTCCTGAGAATATATAAAATATGTAGGACTAGATTAACAACATTGACATTGGTGGAATCTATATATAAAATAACGAATGTTTTATTTACCAACACGTGAACTATGCGAAGTACAATCGCGGATTTTCATTAGTTTCTGAGTATCCCAGATTTGAAGTTTGCCTTCCGCTGTGCCAATTGCGAGTTGAGAACCCTATTATTTTAAATTATAAAGTTGCAAAATATTTAGTTAACACATGATTATCATATTATTATTATAAATATTATTTATTACCTGAGGATGCCATTTAACAGAAGAAACGGAAGATAACAAGCCCAAATCGCATAATTTTGCCATCTAAAAAATGATGATAATAAAGTTAATAATAATTAGGGTAAAAATCAATAATAAAATCGCGAAACCTTAATAATTGCAAACCCTTGATGTTCCAGTATTCCACAAATAAGCGCAACTTTCGAGCCCCAAACTTAAAATATTTGAGGCAGACCAATCTACCACGTTCAAATAAAAGTCATCCTAAAAGCAAAAACAAAATAAATGAGATGTATTAATAAATAAACATATATTGATATATATTGAAATGTATATACTTTGAGCATCAATTCATTGCAAAATGCGAGCATTTGATATGGCAGTGGATTAATTGTTCTAGCAGGTTTACGAGGTTTTGTCATTAAATCCTCTACTTGACGTGAAAATGGAGTTGTAGAATACACATTACTAAAGGGCGTATCTAAGATACCACGGCGTTTTGGTAATGCCGAGTGGAATTTAAGGAATTTCTGTTTCGAATTTATCGGGTAAGTGTCGATATGACTGACTATATCGTCATTAGAGTTTGTGGATGGAAACATTGCCCTTTGGACTATAATTTTGTGAAAATAATCGTCTAAAGTAAATCAATCAATAAAGAAATAAATAAATAAAATTCATTCCAAGTTTCAAATTGATATGATATAACGAAAAAATTTTCTTGCCTTCTGGTTCTTCTCTCTTCCGCTTTTGTGATTTTTCTTCTGTAGACGTTGTTGCTCGTCTTTGAAACTCGGATATCATATCACCGGTTCTAATAGGAATGAATCTATAAAACGATTACGGAAAGATAATTATACATGATTAAGTTCGAACGTGTTTAAAGGTGTTAAAATCTGACGCCAATTATTTTCACAATTTTATTCATTTCGAAATTTTACCTATCTCCATACGATACTTCATTATTATCCTTTAAATTATTACTATTTTCATTTGTCCCCCAAGATGTCACACTATTTGGTGAGCAGCCTGAAGCGAATATAGGTAACGACTTTCCTGAAAGCGAAAAGTTCATAGAAGTTTCAGTTGAGGGCATGCTAGTTGAAAAGTTAGAGAGTAGTTTGTGTGACTTATTTTCAAGAGACATTTTTTTTTTTTTGTATATTGTAAAGATAAATTTTAGAACGAAGGTGTTTATAGAACGAATCAAATATTATTTATAGTTTCTGATTGAGTGTAAGAGAATTTTGTCAGCTTAAAAACAATTGTTTTTGTTGACAAATAAGCTCTTTGTTTTGATATAGTCTGAGTGTTCGATTCATTAAATTTAATAATTGAGTCTGAAATAAGCTGTCAAATAGCAAAATGTGCATTTTGAGTCTTAAATCAAACTTTAATGTTTTTACATTTAGTGTGCAAAATTTGGTGTGAATTTTGTCGGAGAAAGTTTTTTTAAAATTATACATGAAGATTACGCAAATTTACATTAACTTTCAAGAATTTTATGCGGACATTGATTCATCATGAATAAAATAATCATAATAATATTAATAATAATAATACGTAATGTATAATATTTGTCATTTTAAGCTGACGTTATATATAACCTTATTTACTATTTCTTTTTTTCTATTTCCATTAATTCAATTTGCATATTGATTTCTAAGTCCATGACTTGTGCAATGATTTTTCTGTTTTCAAATCCATCACCATGTGTAATCTCTAACACTTTCTTTGTTGCTTTTACTATCTCATAGGATTCAACGATTTTATCTTTATCTTTGCAAGTATCATTCCACATACACTTTGCCAAACTAAATAAATGCAATCCAATAATTGGATGAAATCTTGGATAAATTAAAAGATAAATAGCGAGAATATAACGACCTAAAGTCCATGATTCTCGCCATTGTTGTAACTCAATACGATCATAAAAACGTCTTGTGGCTAAAGAAAGAGATGATGTAGTAAAAAGATCTGGATGTGTGATGGTTGTGTGCATATCATTGAAAAATACTTCTAAGGTTTTTATGTAATCAGCTTTTGATGTTTCTCCTATTAAATGTGGTAAAAGTGAGATAATAATGCGCGAAATAAAAGAAGAAATTGATTCTTTTATCATCTGGTTTTGTTGCATTTGAGAAATCAGCAAATTTTCTACGATTTTTTCTTTTTCTTCTTCATTATCTTTTTTCTCAGTTAATTGCTCGATCTTCACTAATACTCTTCTTTCTTCTTCTGTTATATCCATACTAATATCGTCGGTACAACATCTTGGACATTGACATTTAAAAAAATACTTTTCCCTCAACAATTTTTGTCTGGACGTTCGGCTCATTGCGACATCAACATAAGATATTGTTATCTCCTCACCAGCCTTTATGTTTTCAATGCTTCTAAGTATTTGTGGTCCATCCTTTGTTTGTTGTCCGATTGAATACATCACTATAGCATTCGGACGACAAGAATGGTTGATTAAAGATCCAATTGGGTAACTACAAATGAATAGATAAAATTAAAGAAATATCATCTCACTGATTTTATAAAAATTCATAGGAATATAAAAAACGAAACAAAGGATACGTTCCTTCGCCAAAAGAAAATAACTGACTATCATCCACGTTAAAATTATTACAAGAAAATCTACATAAATATGTTATCAATTCATCTTGCGTGATATTTTGTAACTCCAAATCTGAAAAAACATTCGTTGCAATAGTTTTAAATTTTTCTAATTGTTCTGGTATCTGTTTTTCACGATGTGACATTAATGTCAAAAATGTTTCACAATTTATCTTCTCGTTTAAATCTGTCGATGATATCATTTCGGACTCATAGTATGATTTTTTTTTTAAATATTTATCTATTCTCAATGCTACTCGTCTTAACATTTCTTCGTCCATATAATCACTATCCAAGGCTTTATTCCCTTCCTTTTTATATAAAGGGCATAAAATTTTGTGATGTGCTGACCATGCGAGCTTTTGACATTTTACGTTACAATAAAACGCTTTATGACATCTAGAACATTTTTTTAGTGGTTCGATTGGAATTTCTAAACAATTATTGCAATGGGCATTGACCATGGATGGAATTGGAATGCATGCAAGAGATGGGAATGTAATTATGGTGGTGCCTTTGGGAATATGTTTAAGCGTTTTAAGAGTACGGTGTTTCGTGAGGTTTTCCTCGAGGGTTAGCCCGTGAAGTGAAAGAAATTCTGATATGCATTGCATGCTTGAAAGTTGCCTAACAACTGAATTGCTGATAATTTATAGCTATCATTATCGTATGTAGTAAGGTAACACAAATCCACGGGAGTATAGAAATTTCTATTCTATGCTCTACACTTTTGTTATATACCAACAGGTTCAGTGTTGCTTCTAGTGTGAGATACTAATTTGCTTTAATATATTATTTAGATTAATAGTTGTTGAAACGTTTGTAATAATTTATAATTATTTCTTAAATTATTATACTGTATCTATTGTTTATATTTAGTTGTTAGATCTGTTAAACCAGGTTTGTATTACTTGATTTAGAATATTTATTTAAAACTTGGTAACTAAAATAGCATATTGGTTGAAGTAAGAGTTTATGGTTTGATCGATAAGTTTATATATTTTGTTTTGATTTATAGTATTATATCAGGTTTGGTTATTATTTAAGCTTTATATAAAGTTTTAAAATAAGACAATTTTTAGATCTTGAATGTTTTAAAAAATTTAATCTTCTATGCTAAGCTTTTTAATATACTGTGATTTGATCAAAATAGCAATATAATTATTACAAAATTTTTTTGATTATTATTGTTAATATTTAATTTCAATAGTTTGTATTTTAACCAAAGTTTGAAATTAAAAATTAACAAGAACTTTAATAATAAAATTGGTATTATTTTGATTTTTATTAAACCAAACAGTAATTTTATTAGTATTACGATTTGGCAAAACTTAATAATTTATTATATAATAGCAAAACTTCAAAATAAATAAAAGCAATAGCAAGCTTTTAATTATTTTGAATTTTATTAATATTGTAATATGTCTGCTTGGCTTAACCAAATAGTAAATATTTCAATAATAAAATATGTTGTTACCAGTTAAGTCAAACAAATATATTATTTGACTTAACATATAAAAGTAATTAGGGATGTGTTTAATCAAAAAAAATTAAAGAAAAGCCTAAACTAAAACAAAAATACTATGAAATAACTAAACAATAAATTAAAAACAATAAAATTTACTTAAGTATAAATCAAAAATGTTAAAGAAAAATAATAATTTTACAATAAAAATATAATAAAAACAGTTTATTACTAAGAAAATACAATAAAATAAGGTTTTATTACAAGAATATCCCTTAAACTATATTGGGAGCAAATTTGCACCAAATTTGACTAAAAATTTATAATTTGTCAAATTACTCAAAAAATTATTAATAATATAGGGTTTATAATTCTCATAAAAAATATTCTATAATATATATTTTATTAACTTTATTACCAATTTTTTTGATTTTATTAAGTAATTTTTTAATAATTAAACTTTAAAGTTTAAATTTTAAAAAATTCTATTAAATTTAGTTTAAATTTTATAAAATTTATATGTTTCTGAAGCTAAAAAATTGGATATTTTATAGAATAGGTAGGCAAACTCTGCTAGCTCTGCAACTCCAATATTAAAAAATTAGTAATTACTAATTATTAGCGAAGCTTATTTCTTATATTGCCTATCTATTTTATAGAACATCCAA